TTTTAGAATTACATGTAAAAAAAGCAAGTTTATTATGAAAACAGAATAGTGACAAGTTTAGAGAGAAAAAACAGTACATCTTTTATTGGGCTGTACTGACAATCCAGTGGTTAAGGCAGAGGTACCCTGAAGATGATGGACGCTGAAGAAGAAATATTAACTAACCCTCACTGTGTAGCTACACTGCTCTTAAGTTTTTTGCATTTGATACCTAATGTAGTCCTCACAAAGATCCTCATGAATGACTAGGTGTAGATGACTAAGATCTACAAAGTCTAGGAGGCCGAGGCACTGAGCAGCTGGTAGCTTCATGGGCTCCCACTGTGTGTGGCCTGCAGGGATGGACAGGTTTCAACCAGGCAGTCTGGCCCCTAGTCCTCAAGCCATCTCACCTACAATTGAAGTTATTTCTGAAACAGGAATGGAAGAAAGAAAAAAGTGTATTTCCTGAATTAGAACTTTTCTTTTTTTTTTTTGGGGGGGGGGATGTATTAAAAAACTATGCAAAATATCAAATGGATTAAGCCTGAGAAGTTACACACTGCCAAGGAAGATGGCCCATGTTTTATCTACAGCTACCCCAGGCCCAATTTACTGTAACACAACAAAGCCACAATGAACCTTCTTGACCAGATTCTGCAAAAACTACAACCGATCAGCACATCCCCTCAAAAGCCCAAAGCAACACTGCTCATTCTGATTGTCCTTAGTTGTTGTTTCCAGGCAAATGATAATACTGGTAAGAACAGGTGAGCCCAAGGGGAGGAACCTTGTATTTAACAGTGCTGTGAAGCATCTGTAATGTCCACAAATCTTCAGACGCAAACCTCAAGGACAATGAGCCCTATCCATTCAATATTTCTCAAAAATGGCTTCACCACACTAGCATTGGGGCAACACTTCTACAGAAACTACAGAGGGATGTCAGGATTATCATGAGAAACCAACTGCCTCACTTTATAGACGAATTCCAAGGCTTGTTTAGTTGTTGGCTTCCACAGAGGGCATTATTGCTACTGTCTTTGCTTCAACTACAACATGGAGGTAGAAATGTTGAATGAGTTTTAATGAATCAACATGCATTGTTTTAATAAAGCTCTGCTGATATAAAACAAGTCTGAAAAAAAAGACCAGACAAATATGTTCACTTAGGCAATGTAATTGTCCATAGTGAAGTGGGAATAGTTGAGGATTAATAAGTAAGGGAATGACATGACCATCCTTGTGTTTTTTGAGGATAACGCCGGCAGCAGGGTACGGCTCCAAATGCAGAAAGCCAGGCAGCAGGTGGGAACGCCAGCCAGGCGTGGGTGGCAGAAGGCCAGGCAAGAATGCCACACCTCCAAACCAAAGCAGCAGAAGTGGGAATGGCCCAGGGAGGAAAGACCGGAAAGAAGTTTGGAGACAGAATCCTAGGTTTTAGATAACAACAGGCTAATCTCGACAGTAGGAGCTCTGGTAGCATAGTCCCTAAGGCACTTGACTGCTAACCAGAAGGCTGGCGGTTCAAACCCACCAGCCACTCCTCAGAAGGAAAATGGGGCAATCTACTTCCGTGGTGATACTGCCTTGGCAACCCAAGGAGGGGTCGCTATGAGTTGGGGCCGACTCGATGGCACATAACAACAATCTTGACAGTAAGGCAGGGGAGGAAATCTACTGAGCCTGACTTTTCACCTCAGTGATAAATTAAGATGTGATGAAGGTAAGTAAACTCTGTTTTGTTAACTTTCTTTTTGGTCTAACTATGCAGATTTTTGGCAGGAATGTTGGGCAATCTACTTCCGTAGTGATATTGCCTCAGAAACCCATGGAGGGGTTGCTGTGAGTCGGGTCCGACTCCACGGCACATAACAACAATGCAGATTTTAACCATTTAACTGATGAATGATTTTTCTATTAGTCTATGAGTTACACTGGCTGGGTTATAAAAGGATGCTCTGTGTTAATTAAAGAGCTCTGGTGGTGCAGTGGTTAAAGCATTTGGCTGCTAACCACAAAGGTCCATGATTCAAAATCACCAGCCCCTCTGTGGGAGAAAGATGCAGCAATGTACTTTCATAAAGACCACAGCCCTGGACACCCTATGGGGGTCACTATGAGTTGGAACTGACTCGATGGGTGTGAGTTTGGTTTTGGGTTTGTGTTAATTATGAGTGAATTAGGACAGATAAAATGTAGAAACAGCAGGTACTCTCAAAGTAGGCTACCCATTATCAAAACTGAAGGTGCCTAGGCAGCATCAGGGAAGTTTAGTGAAACTGCAGGTTCTCAGAAGCTACCCCAGCAAGTGTGTATCTGTCCCTGGCATCCTGCAGTTCCCACTCTCTGGGAAACTCTGCCCTTGGATTTGCAGTGGTGCTGCTCTTTCAACTCACTCAGGCCACCCTGGGAAGGGGCCTCTTACCTCACCCTGTAATCATGTTGCCCTCTTTGTCTTCACATGACAAAAAGAGAAAAGAACTCTAAATCTACTGCTGTCTAATCAATTCCAACTTATAGCAACCCTATAGGATGGAAGAGAACTGCCCCACAGGGTTTCCAAGGCTGTAAATGTTTACAGAAGCAGAGTGTCTCATCTTTCTCCCATGGAGCAGCTGGTGGGTTCAAACCTGCAACTGTAAGGTGAGCAGCCAAGCACTAAGCCACTGTGCCACTAGGGCTCCTTGTCTTCACTGTCAAATATCTGAAATTACCTTGTTTAGTTGTTGGCTATTGTAGTGTATAAAAGGAGCCCTGGTGGAGCACTGTTAAAAGCACTCAGCTGCTAACCAAAGGTCGGCAGTTCAAACCCACCAGCTGCTCCGTGGGAGAAAGATGAGGAGGGAGTCTGCTTCCATAAAGACGTACAGCCTGGTAAATCCTGTGGGGCAGCTCTACTCTGTCCGGTAGTGTTGCTATGAGTCAGAATCGGCCCAATGGCAGTGGCTTTGGCTTTGGTTTATTGTAAGTGTTGAAGCACTGTGACACCAGTGACTCTGCCGACTTCATTCACTGCTGTTTCCTCACCATCTAAAACAGCTCCTGGTGCACACAGTAGGCTCAAATGTAGAGAAGGGAAAGCAAGCGAAAAAGAAGGAAGGAGCGACGTGTGGCTAAGAAACTAGAGACTTAAAAAAAAAAAAAAAAAAAAAGGCAGCTAGAGACTTAGGTTAAGGCCTTGACTTGTCTGTAACGGACTGAGTAACCTTGAATATGTCCCTTGGCTCAGAAAGGAGATAACCGAGAAAGGCCAGAGATTTTCACAAGAGCAACTGTTGTAAGGCTCCTTTCTCCCTCGAGTAGAAAGACTCCAGGTCCTCTGCAGAGTCTTGGGGAAGAGCCCCAGGGCACTGTGAGAGGTGAGTAAGACAGCAAGGGATAGGGAGGAAAACCAACACTGATATGATAGAGATGGAAAACAGAAGGTTAGGAACTCAGTAACAAGTTAAATGATGGCGAAATTCATAGAAAAAGAGAAATTACTGTATCTGACATGGGAAAGTCCAAATGACTATTAAAGAAACTTAAACAAGTTAAAATCTTCCTACAAAGAAAATACCTGTCAGTCAATTTTACAGGTGAATGCAATAAAATAAAAATTTCAGAGAACCGGTCATTCCAATCTTAAATGAACTCTTCCAGGGAACAGAAAAAGAACTCTCTCAAATCTACTCTGAAACTGGAATAAACCATATACCCACACCAGACAAAGACAGCACAAGAAAAGAAAATAAAAAACAAAAACGCCCCATTCTTACTCATGAACAAAAGTACAAAATTTCCAAACAAAACTACAGACAAACCGAATCCAGCAATATAATAAAACACATCAAGTAACCCAAACTGGGTTCATGTTATGAAATCCATTCAGAACTTCAACAGATTAAAACAGAAAATCCATATGGTTGTCTCAATACATGCAGAAGAGTAATTTGCTTAAATTTAACAACTACTTATACATGAACTT